ACATGTCCACCTGGTCTTGATGGGCATCCTTGGCAGGCTTTATTTAAAATTTTAAATTCCCTTTCAGTCCAAGTCAGGCTTTTCTGATCTGGAAAGACATGAACTTAAAAGAAAAAAATAAATTATCTGCTCATTCCTCACCATTCAAACACAGGGAACAGGGACACTGAAACAGTACTCCCATTTGGAAGGGGAAGGATCGAGAGGGAAACAGAAGATAACTGCTGCAATTCTGAAACCCTCCTAGGGCTCTGCCTTCTGGGAATTTCTTTCTTTTCCTTGTCTACATCTGAGGCGGACATGGAGATTACACCGTCGTTAGCAACTTTAAGATATCCTGCCTAGAGGTGGTTGAATCCAGAGGTGGTTGTAAGTCTTGAGCAGAGATGGTCTCTTTTAAATCCAGGCTGATGTTTCTCTTGACTGCTAAGTTCTCTCAAAAACTTGATTTGCTTTCCATTAGCTACAGATACCAATAACTGCCTCTAGTGTTCTTTTCCAGATACACTTCTTAGACTGTTTTCATCATTTTGTTTCTGCATCTTTCTCTTTCTTTTAATTTCAAGTAACTTCAGCTTGTCAGGCTTCAGTAGGGGAAGTATATCCTTTGTCTTTTTTTCTTGAGCTATTCTTTCTAAAGGAAAAAATTTACTGGCTGCCATGATCTTTGTCGGATTATTACCTGATGCGCATTAATCCATTAGAAGTATGAATAGTAGGTGACAATAATAACCCTGATGCTCACTGCAATGCTGAGTTTTACTTGGCTTTTGTTTTGCAAAAATTTTATTATACCTCATTTTTGAAGTTTAAAGATCAGCTTAGCTTTTCCAATTTTGCGAAGTACCATATTTCTGGAATCTTTCTGTTCCTTTTCATTTCTGCTTATGAACTGCTTGATGAATTTAGACACTAGTGTTTTTTCTATACTTTTCCAAATGCATCCAACAAGGCCCAGCATACACCATTAACATATTTTCCACCTGCTTCTCTACAGCTATAGGTATATTAGGGGTATTATCTCCCAAATTATCACACGTATTGGTTTTGCCAAATATTTTTCCAGTTCACAACAAAAGAGTGAGCCTTCTCTTTGTCTGACCACTAACCCAATGCTAGAATTTTAGGTTTCTATTTTGGGAGCATCCTTCTTTGGATACTAATATCTATACCACCATCTAGGTTAAGTTATGCCACAGCAGTTTTAAAAATCCAGTTCTTGGTTGTTTATCATACAAAAGCTATAGCTCTTGCTATTGCTCTGCCCCCATGGATTGACATGGATCTCTGATTACTGTTTCTACCGTTAGGGAACAGGCTGAAGGAGTCTCTGTCTCAGTGGCATTCATGATTTTCCAAGACAAAAGATATGGCAGTCCTTAGAGGTCACTCAGCATGAAAGGAGATAGCTCATTTCGGCTCATAGTTTGCTGGCCAAAACAAGTTACATGGCTGTGCCTAACTCTCGAGGCAGAGCAGAGGATGTGTAATTCTGTTGTGTGCCTGGAAGGAGGTGAACCAGAATATTTATGAGCAGCCTAATGCTTCCCCCTATGGCAACACCCTGGCCCAAGGCAACGAGTGCTGGCAGCTGTGGAGCTGTTCGGGACTGCAGCACGCTGCCTGTCTGTGTGTGAGACCAGCCTTGCCCTGCACTATTGCAGGCAGTAAACACCACGCCTTTCTCCATATGGCTTTCATTACAACTTCATTTCATTAGGAAACCAGTGGGGGTGTTCGGCAGTATTACAGAAATACCAGGAATGAGACCCACCAACTTGCTTACAAACTCAGTAACACTTTTCTTCAATATTCATCAAGGAAAAATAAACCTATAGGGTGATGTGATTTTCCTTTCTTTCCCCAAGACTTTGGACAAGGAATAGCACTTGAAATTTTGTGATAATAATGGGAGGAGGGAAAAATAATGTTAAAGAATAAAAATATCAGAGGATTCTTCTTTTGGTAGCATCAACATTGATAATATTATTAGTGTTACCTTCTGTTTCTGGAAAAATCATTCATGTAAAATTGAACCAAGAGAGCAGGCAGCAGAGGTTGCATTAGAAGTCAGGTGAGGGATTTTCTCTTTAGACTCACAATAACCCAAAAGAACAAGGAAGCTTTAGGAAAGTCAGCTGCTAAACACATTTCCCTGCTTTTGTGTGGCAGAGCTATTCATAGGGGCTGTGAAGAGAAGACAGTTGAAGTGCACATGAAATGTACCTAGATTGGTGGGCTGGTAGTCATGTCAGTTAGTGAGAAGTAGTGCTCAAGAGGAAAAGTCACATAGGGAATGCTTTGGTGTAAGAGAAAGAGTCCCATTTGATTTTGTGGATAATTCTGAGTCCAAGTATCAGTTTGTAATGAGCCTGGCTATGTGACCTTAGGGAAATCCTCACTGTAGTACGGTAGAAAGAACACCCTCTTTCACATAGGCATGAGAAATAAATGAGAATGTAGTGCAAATGCTCAGCTCCGTAGCCAGCACATAGTACGTGCTCTGTAAAATCTGCTTTCTCCCCTGGTCCACCCCTCAAGGGAGGAAGTGGACAATCTCACCAGGGATAGACTTCGGGGTCTAAAATACTGACAACCTATTTCTATAAGAATGCATCAAGAATGCTGCCGGAGAATTTCTAAAATTTCCTTGTGGTCAAATGACTCCCTCTTAACCTCAGGTTTTTAGACTCCTCACTGCTTTCATTTGCTCTTTTGTTTTCTGATGGTCCTTTTTGTTTGTAATGGATTCTTCCAGTTTCGGGATTTTATTCTCTTTCTCTCTTGGTTTCCGTTACCTTTTCCTTCATGTTGTGTTACTCTTCTGTTGCTATCAGTCTATATCCATATTTCTCTCTCCCTCTCCATTGCCTCTTTCATCTTCTATCAATTGTTTAGCACCAGTGACCCACAAGTGAGTCTACGAGACTGTCTTGGCTTTGTCTTTGGTGTCCCTGTGTCTGTTCTTTCTGTAGCTCTTCCTGGTGAGCTCCCTGATCCTAACTTGGAGCCCTCCCTCTGCACCACCAACCTGCTTCCCTTGGGCCCTCACAATCTATTTTTCCTACTAAAATCTGTTACTAGAAATGGATCTGATCAACTCAAAAAATGTAAATGGCTGATTGAGTTTGGTGCTTTACTTTTCCCAAAAGTACAAGTACAAGGCCTTTAGCTCAAGAATATACCTGTAGAGATGATTTCAGGTAACACAAAATGACAGCATATTTTCTTTTGGGCAGGAGACTTTCCCTGCCACATGTGCCTGTTTGCACCACTTGTTCTGCTTCGGTATTTTAGAATGAAATAAAATAGAGACAGATAAACTATAGTTAGATTTAGCCACCTTGTGGTATGAGAGAGTGTTTCACTCTAATCAGTTTGGGGCTAAAAACTAATTCCAAAGGGATTGTGTGCAACAGATGCAACAATTAATTTCAGGTAAATCAGTTCAATCTGGCTTTTCCATTCTTTCTGTATTTTATCAAATTTAATGTAATTTGCAAGGCAATATGAGCTCCATTATACGTGTTTGCAACCAGCATGAATCAATCTAACCAAAGGCCTTATTGTACCCTGACAGTGCCCTGGCAGCTTGTTGGGGACTGCCAAGTGTCAGACAGGCCATTCTGTTCACAGTTGGTCCCATGCTTAAGGTCTGTTTGCTTTACAAGGGCCTATAAAAATATTTGACTCCTGAAAATTGTATTTGTTCTCAAATAGAAAATCTGAAAGAGATTGGATTGAATCTCTACAAATCAAAACATTTAATCATCTGACTACTGCCCAATTATTATGTCATTATATATACATTATGCTGAATTTAATACAGGAGGTGAATTTAATATGTTTGATATAATGTGGGATTTGATTTTCCACAAGTAGAACAGCTCTGAGTGTCAGAGATTTGCAAATCTGTGTCAGAGTGGAAAAACAGGAAACTGTTTCTCCAGAGGAACAGGGGTCTGCAGGCACAAAACAGAGGTCCTAGTGTAGGGAAGAGACATTTATCACAGTTGTACCCATCAAGATACATCAGGATGAAGCAACTGTGCAGGTACCAAGAAAGGGGACACTGTTTTTTAAAAACCAGAACTCTTTTCTGAAAGCAATTATTATAAATAGGTAGGGGAATGCTATGGACTTAATCATGTTACCCCCAAATTCATCAAGCCTTAAACTTCTCTATGACTATATTGGAGACGGCCTTTAAGGAGGTGATTAAGGTTAAATGAGTTCATAAGGGTAGAAACGTCACTTTTTGACCTGATATCCTTTTAAAAGAGACGTAAAAAGCCAGGGATAGTGGTGCACACCTGTAATCTGAATACTTGGGAAGCTGAGACAGGAGGATTGTCGTGAGTTTGAGAACATCCTGGGCTGTATGGTGAGACCCTGTCTTAGAAAGGCATAAGATCCCCCTCTATCACCTTCTCTCTGTGTGTGTATCTCTCTGTCTCTGTCTCTCTCTCTGTTTCTGTGTGTGTGTATGTGTGTGTGTGTGTGTGTCTATAACAAGAAGGCTTCTATGGATAAGCCAGAATGCAGGTTCTCACTAGGATCCAAATTTGCCATTGTCTTGGACTTACAGCTTCTAGAGCTATGAGACAATAGCTTTCTGTTGTTTAAGCCATGCATTTGGTGCTATTTAGCTCTGGAAGTCTACGCAGGCTATAATAGAGAATGTACATTGATAAGAAGCTTTGAGTGGGCTTGGGCTAAGATTCAGGATCAAGATCTGGTCCTTCCAACACCTCCTAAGTCTGGCAGGCAGCAGAGATTTGCTTCACAAGGTGGTTGTGCAACTTTGGGGCTGGAACTGAATGTCCTAGGGCCAGGTACTGCTCCTTATGGAAATGGCTTTCTGCCCTTTCCCAAGGAGTGCTCAGTCTTAATTCTCATCTTTTAAAACATAACTGCTTGCAAGGGACGCACGTGATTAGCCACCTAGGTCACCCACAGGCCTGGCCAGTCCAGCCTTGGTGAACTGTAACCCTTCTTACCTCAAGGTCATAACCAATGCCATGTGCCTTGCACATCTGGAGGAAAACATAGTGGAAAACCAGTGAGAGATTGTTATGCTTCAGCTGGGTGGTCATCACTGCATAGCGACTGGTTTCCTGTGACTGAAAAGGCCACAACTGACAGTTAGATTCCTCAAAAAATATTTAAATAAACTTTTAACTTTAGAATAGTTGCAGATTATCAGAAAAGTTGTAGAGATAATACAAAGTTCCTGTTTCCCCCACACTCAGTTGTCCTAGTATTAACATCTTACATTGCCTCGGAACATGTATCATAACTAAGGAACCAAACCACCACATTACTATTAGGCTCATATTTTCTTTGGGTATTAGTGGTTTTTCATCTAATGTTTTAGGATCCCATTTAAAATACCATATTGTATTTTGCCATTTCCTTGGTTTCTTCTGGGCTGTGAGTTTCTCTGACTTCCATGGTATTGATAAACATGAAACTTTTTTTTTTTTTTTTTTTTTTGTCTTTTTCCATTTTATCGGTACCGGGGATCCAACTCACGACTGCCTGCTCTCAAGGCAGGCGCTTATGCCGCTGAGCTAAATCCCCAGCCCCAACATGAAACTTTTGAGGAATACTGGCCAAGTATTTTATAAAACAACCCTGGATTTGGGTTGGTCTCATGTTTTTCTCATGATTTGACCGGAGATAATGTGTTTTTGAGAGGAAGAACACATAGGTAAACTGGAATTTTTATCACTTTGTAGCAAGGACCCATGCTACTATAGTTTGGGCATTGGAGGCCCATAAATGTCTACGTGTTACAGGTTTGGTCCCCAGGGTTGTGCTGTTGGGAAGTAGTAGAAACTAGCAGGTGGAGCCTCAGGAGAGGTCCTTGGGTCATTAGGGACAGGCCAGCAACAGGGAGCACAAGGACTTGATTTCTTCCTGGTCTTTAGTTTTGCTTGCTGGCTTGTGATGTCAGGAGTTCTGAGCCATCACACTTTCCCCTTTATTGCCACCCAGCACCCCCACCAGAGGCCCAAGCAGTGGGGCCATAGCTGAGGTTTGGAACCTCTAAAACTGTCAGTTAAATAAGTTGCTTCTTTTCCTTTAATTATCCAAGGAATTTTGTTATAGAAACAGAAAGCTGACCAATACACACCCTTGTCATATTAATATGCATGACCTGATGATGTTAACTTTTATTAGCTGGTTAGGATAGCTTCTGCCACTTCAGCAAAAATTTCACAGGTTTCTCCGCTACAAAGAGACTTTGTCCCTTTTTCCATCCTATGCTTTTTGGAAGCAAATCACAAAACCTAATTATGTCCTTGATGTTGCCACTATTACAATTTTGATATTTTTTCTTTGGAAAACTGCTTTTCTTTAACTGCTATTAATGCAAGCTATCCCAAAGAGACCAGCTCTAGATAGCTCAAAGAACTTTACTTATTTTACAAGAACGTTTAATATTTAGTGTGCACAGAGTAAGTATTGGATCCTGGCAGTTTTGTGGCATGCCATTTGTGAGATGTGATATTTGCTTTTGATCATCAGCTGTTTCCCCTGTGATAACTGGAAATTTGAGGAACTGCCTCAGGGCCATGACCAACCTTAGGACATAAAAAATAAAGGTTGCTGGCCCAGGTTTTAGAGCTCTCAGATGCTGGACAACCAGGTTTCTGGAGTTGCACAGTGACTTGGAACAGAAGAAAGCAAATGAGTTGTAGTCAGAGTTCATGAAGGAATAGATTTAACACAGGTCATATAATTTATAGGATTATTTAAAAATATTTACCCAAATACTCAAATGCAGAAGAGTGCAAGAGATCTGTCGGCACACTGGAGACCCAAAGAATCCAGCTGAGGGACTGGAATTCATAGTAATGTCCTGCACGAGTCCAGCTGGAGGCCTAGAGCCCATGACAATGTCTCATACAAGTCTGTACCAAGGATCTGCACCAGGAAGGCCCAAAAATCAGTGGTTGAAACTAGAAAGTCTGCACCAGCACGATGAGGGATCTGTGCTAGCAGGCTGTGGATCTTCCCTGGAGTTAGGAAGTAACACTGAAGGTAAGGATCAGAGAGCTCCCCCAAAGAGAACCGCAGCCATCCTCAGTGACAGTGAGCACCTGAGCTCTGACAATGAGAGCAGCTAAGTTCATTTCAGGAAAAGCAGCGCAACGAGCCTCTCCAGGAGAATCAACAACGCACATCTTGCTCTCTAGTTCTGCTTTTATGCTGTTGGCAGCAATCCTCAGATGGGCCTTCCATACCCAGCACCATGCTGACTCAGTTCAGCTGGGTGCTGACCACTGGTTAATCTACCACAGAGATGCTGCTGGTCCAAGCTGGTTGTAGGGGCAACCTGACACTCACCTGTAATCATACTTCAGACTCTATTATTTGAGATAATGCAGAGCACTAGGGCTGACTGAGTGCTCGACAGAAAATACCGTCCCCTCCCCATGCTGTCTTTTCTTTCAGCATTTATATTGAGTGCCGAATCTGAGGGTCCCATCATCAGTAACATTGCTAAGGCTGATCCTCCCACACATATGTAGAATCTATGTCTATAGCAATGCTGGGCTCCTGTCGGCCATCTTGAATCAATGCTACATTTGTAGCTATTTGTTTTTATTTTTTAAATTTTTTCTTTTGAAAACAGGGCCTTGCTGTGTAGTTCAGGCTGGCCTTGGGCTCACTATGTGACCTAGGCTGACCTTGAACTCGTGGTGATCCTCTTGCCTCAGCCTAGTGCAGGGATTACAGGCATGTATCTCCATTCACACAAAGCATAAAAGTTGTATATAGTAGGAGGCACCATGTAATGTTTGGTACATGTATTTATCACATAGTATTTAAATCAGGTTAGGTATATCATCTTTTCAAACATTTTTTGTGGTAAAAACTTTCAAAATCCTTTTTTCTAGTTTTTAAGAAATGCACAGTACATAAGTGTTATGTCTAGTCATTCTACTATGAAATAGTACCCATGCTTCTCTCTATCTAACTGTAACTTAATACCCATCAATCAACTTTTGTGTATCTACTGCCACTCCTGGGGTTTTTATTTTTAACAGAAGAAAATCTAATGAACCCCCCCCTCCCCGCCGCCACCACCGTGTGAAATAGCTGTACATTGTTATCACTGTGATAATGGTGAGTTGTTCCCCTGGCTGGTCCCTTGTGTAGCTGGGAGTGTTCTGGAGGCAGGCACTGCATGGCTTCTGAATCTCTGGGCTGAGCTCAGTGCTCACGGAAAAGGCCTTTGGTGTGTCATGAATGAGAAAAAGAATGAATGAAGCAGGTGAAAAGCATTTCCCTCTGACTTAACAGACTCTTCAGGACATGTAACTCCTGGGCCTGCCAGTCAGTGTGTGTTAGGAGATTGAAGCAGGTCATTTACAGAAGCTTAGCGACAGTCACACTATCCCCAAAGAATGACAACTCGGGACAGTCTCTCTAGCTGCCCCTGGAGTACAGTGAGCCTTGGTGGGCTAAGCAAGAATTACTGAGGAGATGACAAAAACCAGTGAAGGGAAATTCACTCAGCCGACTAGGCAGCTGAAGAGTCATGGCCCCCAGCCCTGTATGCCTTGCCATGCCAGGCAGTGCCATGCTCTTGCCTTTTCAGTGAATACCCAGAAGTCTGAGCGTTTGCACATGGACATGAACTGTAAATACTGTGGAATTCCATTGTGGTTACTGAGCATGTAATTGCATGGTAATTGCTATGAATTCACGAGATAATTCCAATATTATTTTTGTCTTCTAAACTTGTCGTATGCTGCCATATTACATAAACAAAACCAGTATCAGGCCCCAGTTCACAGGAGACGCACAATGGTATCTGTAACGGGGTCCTGCTTAAATCTGTGTGTCTTGGGCTAAAGCACAGCCAAAAAGTTCACTGTCCAGTAGTAAGTGACAACTGGACAAGTAAGGACTGGCTGCCCTGAGGTCTCTTTCTATTTATGGATGCAGACCTGAGCTTGTCATTCATAAAGAATCTGAAAGACGACACATGATATTTGGCATATCTCTGAGTTGTTGATTCTTTTCCATTGCCATCACCATCCGAGTCCAGACCTTTATTGCCTGGGAGTATGGGAGGTGAAGGTGTGAGCGAATTCTATAGCAAAAGTACACGGAATCTGGAAGGCTGAGTTTCAAAATCCAGCAAGGCCACTTACTATCTGTGTGATCCATGTGATCCGTGTGATCCTTGACTTCTCTAACCTATGACGACTATAATAAGCACACTGTCCTGGAACCTCTTAGATGGTAGCTACTGTTTTTCATTGCTGGGTCTTTGAAAGGATTTTGGATCCATAATAAAGGTAGTTTCTCAGGTTGTTCTTACTTTGCTCATACCCGCATCTTCTGGGATTTGAGTATTATCACTGCGTGGACCATTTCTCTCAAACTTTGGATGGTCATTTGGTTTCAGTGTCCCTTCCTTGTGTTCAAGATGAAGTCTGGAGCCTGTCTTGATAGGTGGACTGCCCCCAACTCACTCAGTGGTAATTCCACCCTCCTCTCCTTTTCCTTCCCTTCCCTGACTCTCTGTTTTTGGTTTGCTGCTGATGCCTAGCAGACCACAGGCTCTCTGTAGACCCTGTCCCATTTGCTGGGAGGTATTCCCCTCCTTGACACATGCTGACTGCCCAACTCTGTAAGACAGCAGGTCTGTCACTTAAATGGCACCTACAGGAGGCCATGTGATTTTTCCTTGTGTATACATTTTATATCAGCACTGTTTTTGTGTCTCTTTTTCCAACTCTGATGCTTGGCGAATTCCTGACATATAATAAGTGTCTAATAAATGTGTTACTATAATGCTAATAAAGATGAATAAATAAAATACACCAACTTTTTAAAAAACTTAGCCAACTCCATAGTTTCTAGAAAACAAACAGAAAAACCCTGTTGGATATCTCTGGTTATTTTTGATCCAGCCTGATAGCACAGGTGACAGGAGTATTGGTGTGAGGACTGGATGGGTATCTGGAGTCTTTAGAACAGAAACTGGTACAAAATAAATACTCAGTAAGTGTTAGCAATGATCACTTATTAAACTCAATACTTTCATAAATCAGGTCAGTTATTTACAATAAAACTGACCAACCACTAAGCCTTTGCA